TTATCCGTGTGCTATACACTTGATTTTCTTGTGTTTTTAAGTATTCTTTAGACTTTCATTAAATTATGGTGAGACAAAAGTGTTTTTTGTGTACGGTTGAGACTGGGAAGCAGGAAGTGAAGGGATATCTTTTCACAGGTAAGGTTATGTTTACGATTCTACTCATTGACGTGGAGTGCGTTGTTTTCCCAATCCACTCTGTATTTTATATTCTTTTACATGTAAAACAGTGTTTAGAAAGATTTTCATAACATCCTTAAACCAAAGAAAAAAAACTGCTGTTTTTTATAAGTGCCCATAAATCACCCAAGAGCTTGTATAAATATATCATTTATCACAAATGTTCGTACAATGCATCTTACTTGAATTTCTACTTTTCATTCCAGACTACCTGCAAATGAAAAGCAGAGATAGAAATGGATGTCTCTCTCACACCACAGAGTGGTTAGAATATGCTCAAAGCATTTTTTTGCAACAAGATTTCACTACTGATGGTAGTAGAAGAACTTGGCTAAAACCTGGTGCTGTTCCAAGACCCATTTGGCCAGTTGTTTCCTCTCAATGGTAAGAATTTTATACACTCACAAAATGTTTTTTAGATTATTTTGCCCAAGGCCACCTTACGCTATGTAGATGGACACACAGGAAGTTCGGGACCTGAGTCCGATGTGGCTTGAGCCGCCAGGTCAAACCGCGGGGTGAGGGGAGGGAAGCTTGTGAAAGTGGGACAATTTTGCGTCTCCAGCTGTTTCTTGCGGACACCGGGACGGGAAAAGTCGTATAGTAACGTTAGATAAGCCACCTAGGCTGTGAGATACTTCATGAATTATTTATGTTATTCTGATAACACATTTGAAATTAATTTATTACTGAATTGATACGTTGAATGAAAAGGTCCAGCGCCAAAATAACTATTGCATTATTATACTACTTTCATGCGAGCGAAGCCGCGGGTTTTGGCTAGTTTATATATAATTGCTATGTTATCAGCTTAAACATTTTCATATTTTGCACATTTTCAAATCCGTGCAATGTTCATTGCCAACTGCTTATAATTAATATAACTTGTACTGGTGTGATATCCCATATCTACAATTGTTAGGTATTTTTTTGTTGACACATTTCCTACTAAGAATGTCAAGAAAATTTTATTTTGCATTGGTTAATCTCCATATACATTTTTTTAAGTAAGTCTGTACTGTGTTTTATTACTTCTATATTGGGGTCTCGTACCTACCACAAAAGGCACACATTTTGCTATTGTTTGTTGACAATCATAGAATGAAAGCACAATGTGTAAACATACTTCATTTCTTGCATTGATGGCCGATGATTAGAAGTATGAAGAGCGGGGGGGAGGGGAGGGGGTTGCATGCTTTTTGTTGGAGATACCACGACCGAAAAGAGGGATATTTTTATGTCGCCAGGCTTTTGTCAGGAACAGTAGGACAGAGTCCGAAAGTGGGACGTATGGTTACCTTAATAATAGTATACCTACAAGAAAGACGTTTTTTGTACCTCCAAAATACTGAGAAATTTATTGGCTTGAGCGTTGGGCTGTTCCAAGCCTGGGGCCCATTTGATAAAATTATGAATGAAAGTTCGTATTTCCCGCCACTGAGGTTCGCGAACATAACAAACGGCGGACTTATGAATCTCTTGCAGGGTCTATATGGGTAAGACGTCATTGGTTCGATCTCAGTTCGCATTTAATGTGACCGATAGGTATGGCTGACGATTCTGGTTGTATAGCAATTGTGGTCTAATTGCCATTGAATACTGCTAATCAACTACTGCGCATGGGCACCCCACACACATTCAAACATTAGCGCCGTCGCCATAACGCGCCTAGTTCCCCAAGTCGTAATAGGGTCACGCTTTTTTACAATTTGGTAACAGCTGTGATTCGTGATTTAGATATATCATTTACTAATGGCCACATCGTCAGTCGTTCCTACATTTGTAGGACGCCTTTATGGCCTCCTTGATTGCCATAGTCTTTTCTCTCATTCATTAATTTTTAGATTTCACCTGTACCGTGTCAGAGTCAGCACTCTCCTATTGTGAAGTTATATTTTCTTTTTGAATTGTAGGAAATTTCAGGCTAATAAAACAGATGATATAAATCAAAAGCATGAACAATTTGATGCAAATAGATATTTATGACATAACCTCAAAATAGAGTGCTGACACGGAATAGTAAGCAACTATGACAATCAAGAAGGCCATAAAGGCGTCCTACAATGCGAATTACTATTCAAAAAGCATCTTCTGATAGAAAAACTTCCCGGGAAAAAGATAAATCTAAATTTATTGGGTGTATTCCTGAAGCTACCAACTTCGTCGGAAAAGGTGAGATTAATACAAGGACTTTAAAGAATTCAAATAGAAAAATGCTGAGAAAATATAAAGAAAGTAATCTATTTACTAATGTTCTGTATGTTGTTCGCAAAATGTTTCGACAAAGTTGAAGACAGAAAGAGAAACGCAGTTTTCAATAAAGGGAAAAGTGCTTACCCAACCACATTCAATCACATATTAATGAATTCGAGGCTGAAACCAGCAATATATCATGTAACAGAAGTTATAACTCGAGAGACTGTAGATTACGACACATGGAAATGTGTGGCTTAAAAACAAAGTGTCGTCAAAACTGGATCATTACTGGAGAATGGTTTTGACTAACGGTTCCAGAAAACAAATTTATCATCCGCTTTGCGACGCTGTGTAGCATATTTGTTTGCAAGGGAATAGTGGTCGATGTCTCGATCCATTCCATCTAAATTTGAATAAGGTACACAGACGAGATTCTTATCTGACAATAGCGACATTGCAGCTTGAAACTTACATATGACCTAACTTTCTCGAACCTTAGTACCTCAATACAGTCGTCAGTATCACGTAGCGACTGATATACAAAACTTGTGTTATCCGATTTATACTCTTGGATGCACTGTACAAAAAGATCCTTTGAAGCCTTGCATAAAATGGCAAAGGATGTTAACGGAAAATATCGTTAACACTGTTCTATGTTTTGCCACATCGCGGCTCCGATTTTTTCTCACCTAATGTTCTTTTCAAGCTGTTGGGTCGATCAAATAAAATATTGAAGTGTTGTAGGAACAACTTCCATTCACAATCGGATTTTGTTTTCACCTAGACCATTTTCTTTGCCAACTTCTGGGATTCTCTAAATTCCCAATACGTCTATTGTCCCCGTTCGTAAATATGTTTTCGAACGGTAGACGAGCTGAAATCGAAATAAAGCGTCAAATTTTCTTTCATATTTCCAACACAAAAGACAGCGAGGGTTAATGTTTCCTTTCTGTCTCCACGAAAAAGGAAACTTTAATCTTGTTCAAACGTTGAGAAATTTCTAAACGAACGGTGATAGCATTTTTCCATTTGTCTGACTGTTCTGGACAATTATGCTGTGATATCGGATGGGCCGTACTTGTAACAGTCTGAGATATTATTGGCAGAAGAACAAGCTGTAGACAAGCGAACCGGCATATTTCTTGGATATAAAATAAGTCAGCAGTAAGTGATCCTTTATTCTTCATTGTATGTCAGAACGATCTGTAGGATCTAAACTATTGCGTAATGCATCGTGGGTCAATAGGCATGTTAGGTGTTGACCCTTCAGAATGTTTATGGCTTGCTCAGGGGTATGCTGCGGATCGCAAGAACGGAGTGTGTATTGGATAAGTAACAAGATACCAAGGGCCTACCCATCACCGTTTACAAAAAGACTAACTGCTACCACAGTTAATAGGATCCCCTTGCTTATTTTGAATGGCTGTTAGTTTAAGTCCAATGGTAGTAAATTGTCTTTGATATGAACTGAGCGATAGACCCTTTTAGCCACGAAAATGGTATGAACATGCTCACATATCTAACATCTCTGAAATATTCTCATACAAAAGCAGGGTAGTATCAAAAGAACTAAGATACAGATACAACAGGGACACACGCATCACGTCAAGGTGCCGATCAGACAACACAAGCAAGTGGTAGTAGGTATAACAACAAATAGGAAACGCCTACGGTAAAAACTGACTCCAATCATACAACAATCTCACTATAGATGAGATCATATCTTATATCTTGCTCTCTTAAAGAGATGCTGAGGGAATGGAATGCTAACTGCAGCCAAATCATTTATTTATCAATTGGCCCTTCTGGTTCAATGTACATCCTCGATACCCCGAAAAAGCAGGGGCTAATTTATAATATACAGAGCTTGAAGAGATTAAGGTACTATCTTGTTCTGCGCTAGCTGAGGCAAGAGCAACAGGAGATAGCGTTCATGAACAAACCTGACGTTGATTTGTGAGACTAGTGGAGTAGCACTTATACAAAAAAATGTCACTGGTTCACTGTGATGTAGTCAAATTTAAATTTAAGAAAGTTCGTTAGGATGGACTCCGACCAGCCGAAATGAACGGCTCTTTGGTAGAACTCGACTCCCGGTACCTCGTGGATCATACTGCCTGTTTTTAGGCAAGCCGTGACGTTCAAGATACCCCAGAAGCTTCCAACTTATTCAGTTCCCCATAAGCTTTCCTATAGCAGGAAGTAGAGCTATAGGCCTGTAGTTGTGAGGGGTCTTGGATCCTTATTTCCAAAATGGGCGGGACACAAACAAATCTCCAGTTTTCTGAGAAAGTGACGAAAATGCAGCAAGCTCTGCTGCACATCTCTTCAGTACAACGACAAAAAGTAGCTCGAACCAGATGCCTTCTTGGTGTCAAACGGCAAGGGCTCACTTCCCGCATAATGTATGGAACCCTTTGAATCGACGATACTCGGACGTCCGTGGTGGAGTTGTCAGCAAAGGCCTTGGCAAGCATTGCCGCCTTAGCATTGAGTCGGTGACAATCGTTCCGTCCTTGCACGTAGGTGGTGGAGGGCTATCCTTCAAAAGGTTCCGTTCAAGATGCTTGGCCAGCGTCCAGGAAGACATTGCGCTGTGACATTACCCTGTCCCTAATTATTACATCGTGCTGGTCTTTGGCGTTGCGAACCGCTATACTTGTTTCTGGACTCGACATCGGCTTGTCTGTTCTATGTAAGAAGGTACTGTGGGCCTTGATCTTCTGCCAACAAGCAGTATTGCACGGCTTGTTGAATCAGCCGTTGGACTCTGGCTTAGGATCATGTAGTCAGTTGTTCCTATAATAATTGTAGGACGCCTTTAGGCGCCAATAGATTTTCGTAGTTCTCTTCTGTTCCATATCAGCGCTCTACTTTGAGGTTATGTTACAAATATCTATTTGCATCAAATTGTTCATGCTTTTGATTTATATCATCTGTTATATGGCCTAAATGTTCATACAAAAAGAAAGCATAGCCTCACAATAGGCGAGCGCTGACTCTAACACGTAAAAGTAGAAGTCTATAAATGTCCCAACGTTTCTGAAGGAGAGAAATGACTACGAAAATCAAGGTTACGGCTCTTAGGGACTGACAGCCTGTGGTTCGATGCCACTGACCAATCCGATAGCTCCCTTCCGAATTGCATTAAGTATGACTAGCGTAGTCGGGGCACCTACATTTGAGACGAGTAAGCAACATTTCAAGAAGTTAATTCTTACATTGAGGGGGTATGCTAACTGAGAAACTATGTGCGGTTCTCTTACATTTCGGAGAACTGTATTCTTAAGCATACGATATAAAAAAAAATAGTTGCTCACCGAGTCATTCCCTGGAGAAGCGTACTGAAGTCTTGCCTCGCAAACTTCTATGACAAATGCCAGCAGCTGTCAGATATTGGGATTATTTCGCCGAGAGCGTTCCCCATTGAGCATTCTATTTTACAGAGCTCAATAACTGGGCCCTGTGCAGATCTTATTTAAATCTTATACAGAGAGAGACAGCAAGTACAAGTAACTCTAAACAAATAATCCAGAATTTCCTTAACAGGTACAGCGGTTGTCGAGAGCTGTTCTTACCAAATCACGTCACCAGAGATCTGAACTGCGACACGCCGAGACGAGTGGCTTCTAGGCCATTCATCAACCCTGGTCTCATAAATATAAAACTTGCAGCACTGGACAGAGCTATATCATTCAAATTTAGAGATATCTATTGCCAGTAAATATTGAACCGATATTCTCATTTCACGTCCTTTTCAGAGAAGAAGTAAGTATCTACAACATCATCCTCATCTGGGATGCCTGAAACGTCTGGTCAGTCTGATTGTCTCGACATCGAAGTCTGCCGAGGGCCCAAGAACCGATACATGAGTCATTCACCGACGACTGACGAGTATTTATACCCACAGCTCTGTTTGCTAATAAGTCGGTGGGATAGACAAGTCGAATGTCGACTGTCAGAAAGCCAGGGCACTCTTATGTATCGCTTCGACTAATTATACCGTCGATGGGACTCTCTTCATTACCATTGCAAATTGACAGAGTTAAATACAATTAAAGGTGTATAAATGGAAGTGTAATTTAGAATACTGGGAAGACCAACGAGGGAGAGGAAACGAGACAGTCGAGCATGTAAACGTTGAGATAAGGAACAAATTGATGAGACGTCCTACCAGTAGATCACTCGGCGGGAGATAAAGGAATAAATTATTGGGAAAATAGCTGAGATTTGTCGGAATCTAGATACATATCAAGCAGTGCATTTTATCTGGCACACTCCCCGATAATCGTGTTCTGCTTGTGGGGCTTTATATGTATATTATACATTTTAGAGTGGTATAGACTCATTGATCAATGAAGCTGGGCGTACGTTGTTGTTGAATTCCTATTATTCTGCCTTCGACATGTAAAATGGTATGAGAAAAAATAAAATGCAGCTCTAAATTTTACAATTGTACAACATATTTGGCCCTGGATGATACAGACCACTATATAAGGCATTAGATGGTGGAGAGATGGCAGTAACAAGCTATCTATATATACAAGTTACGGTTAATAAGTCAAGAACGCGATCCTTGGTGAATTATTCGGATAGTAAGTGGGCTACAACCATGCTAAGCTAATAGAGAGAGGTAAAGCTGAGAAACCGGACTACGATGTCCACGGTCGACGATACCACCATTGAGATGAGAGTAAGGTGCTATCCCCTGTATTGTGAATAGGCTTTTACTCTCTGGGGTAGTTGTGGTTAGGGCGATTTACGAGGATCATTTACTGGTGTTTTTGAAGCGCAATACATATTGTCCACAAGTGCTGCAAGACTAAAGACTCAGCCTTGAAGCCGTGCAAGACAACCGTTGTCACTTACTTACATACCCTTGCCTTATCTAATTCAAGCAAAACAAAATATATAGCCTAACTATAAGGACTAACTAAAAATGCTAACATCAATACAAATAACAAAGAAAGCTACAATAGCCATAGGAAGCATATAGCGATCTCTTATAAACAATCCACATGCAATAACGTTTTTTATGAGAAAATAGTAATTTTCAATCGTCCTCTGGTTGCATTATTAGGTCCTTATTATCCCGAGAAAATTATAGTCGGCTTTATTTGCTAACTCAATGTTGATTCTACACTACAATTTAGCTGTTGAACAATGAACGAATAGCTGATGCCGCACCGCATTCTGTAACGCTATTGACTATCATGCAGGCGAATGCAAATTAATATTTTATGTTTTACAACTTTTTGCAATTCAAAATGATTTTGTGGCCTTAAAAATCATATAGTATTGTTTTTCCACTGATGAGCTCATCTACTTGTAATAAAACATTAAAACCAGTCAAAATCACATAAACACCCTAAGAGTAAGGAACGCGCTTGAATATTACCATAATTAAACTGAAACGAAGAATGAAAACTGATTCCGGTCCTGAGATAAGACGATGCCTCAACGCTTCCACGCTACAAGGCTCGATACATTGGCGTAGACTAGTAGTGCTTGGAACTTGTTTCGTTGAGAGTCTAGTTATCGCGTGATATTGTTTGTTGTTAGAAGAATTGTTATTTGGTTATTTCTATTGTTATTGTTCGGATTATACTTATATTTCCTTAACCATGGACGGTGAGACTGGGAGTGGAAGTACTGGAAGCCAGGGAACAAGTAGAAAGCTTCGTAAGGCACTGAAAAAGGACGCGAAACGTGTTCAATTATTTGAACACTATATCACAGGGAGATGGACTTACGCGTTGCGAAAGCATGACAGGCGTCCCAAAGTGGACTTTTCGCAGGGTGGTGCATGAACAGAAGAAAACTAGAACTACTGCTGATCCAAAGTTTTTAGGAATGAGATACCAATCCTTAAGGATATACATGCAAAGATAAAGAGTAATGACATTATACCCCCAGTGAGTGTCGAAGTATTAAGGAAAACCCTCCACGACGGTAATTTTCGTTACGAAACACGTAATCGGAATTCAGGGTTGACAGGGATAGTCGCGTAGCGTCGAACACACCTACGCGCAATAACTGAATATAGACGACAGAACCGAAAAATATATTATTTGGACGAAACGTGGCTAAATGGAGGTTAAAAAAACCTGGATACAGCTCTTCGTGTATCGTCAGAGAAAGGTCAAAGATTGATCGTTACACGTTACGAAAAATTGTTTTCTAAAGTATGCTACTGAAATGGAGAGCGAAGAACTTAAAATAGATGTTCTTATTGATTAAATTGGAAACAGGCTTCCGATTTTGGACATGCGCTCCAGGTTTTATTTAAGTAAGTCAGACAGAACGAGCTCTTGGGAGGAATCCTAATTTCTTGGAATGATATTGAATAAAAGAAGGAGTACGAGGGATGTCCTTTAAGTTTTGCATTTGGAAATAAAACAACACGGTATGTAGTTTTAAATGACTATTGTTTTTCGAAGTATTTTCCATGAAGATGAATACACATCTGCATGCGCTCGAACCAATTTTCGAAGCACGTATTCCAGTCGTTTGCTGGCAGATCCAAAACGGCATTTTTGAATGCGTTAACTATTTCTTCTGGTGACTGGAACCTTTGACCATGCAGTCTGTTTTTCATTTTCGGGAAAGTAAAGAAATCGTTAGGACTTAAATCGCGACTATATGGAGGATGGTCCAATAACTCCACGTTTTCTTAGGTTAACTACTGCCTTGTTTTTTGGGCTGTGTGTGAGCTTGCATTGTCTTGTTGGAGGATGATTCTTCTTTTGGGGTTGATTTTTCGAAGCTCGGTGATGACTTTTAGCAAACAAATGGTGGTATACCAATCCGCAGTAACAGTTCTTTGCTCATTAAGAGGAACTGTTGCAATATGACCCGTTTTTGACACAAATGTCGCGACCATCTTTTTCGAAACACTTCGAGAACGGATGACTTTTGTTGGCTTTTCTTCACCTTGGAACACCCAAACAGGCGACCGTCGTTTATTTTCTGCTTCATAACAGTAAATCCACGATTCATCACCTCTAACAATGCTGTACACATTTTTTGAGTTTCCAGAATTGAGACGATCAAGCGTTTTTGGACACCAATTAACCCTGGCGGCTTTCTGCTCTTCAGTCAACAGGTATCCAACGATAAACTAATTTTCTTACTCCTAATTCTTCAAGTATTTTTTTTTTAATTGAGGTCTTTGAGATCTTCAAGGACGCCTGAATCTCGCGATATGTCACACGTCTATCTTCAATGATGAGTTTGCGCACAGCATCGACGTTTTCCTGGGTGACTGCCGTTTTTGGTGCACCCACCCTGGGATCGTCGCTAAGACTCACCCGTCCACGTTTGAATTCTCCATACCAACGGGAAATTATCGACTGATGTGGCGCTTCGTTGCCGAAAACAGACAGTAACTCAGCAAGGCATTCTTGTTGCCATAATTGTCTCTGAAAGTTGTAATAAATTATGGCGCGAAAATGTTCTCGGTTGAGTTCCATTTTTCTAATGATTTGGTGACATTTAAAAATTCACTGCAGCGAGAACACTGCACGTATTGCTGTGAAACTTTGAATTTAAGTTTACTAAAGAGTGAGGTTAAGATTCAGTACTGACTTTCGATCCGCGCGGCCTACTATGTTTCTATATTCAAAACTTAACATATATCCCTCGTATTAGGTGGGTTTGTTTTAATTCTCCATTTACAATTATCCTGTCGTGTCCCTCAACGATTTTTTGATGTTATGAAGTAACTAAAGATCGTCGTTTATGTCTTCGGAGTGATAAAGGGTAAGGAATAAAGTATATTTCTCAAAGTCGAGTATACCCTTCCTCCTCTGTATGTTAACCAAGCAAAATAGCTTCTTCGGCATCCATTCTCGTTAAATAAATACAATATCTGACCCTATTTTAGCTAGTTAAAATCTAGATGAAAATTATATGGGTGCCATCTGAACATCGACCCAACAAACCCCCGCCACCTCGACGCGCGTCGGATGCGCGTCATCCGAACTAAACCTTACAGGGCGATAATTTGAATGATGCTCATCAGGAATTGTCGACGTGCGATTCGTATGACAGCAAGTAGTCACGCATTTTATAGTGACAATTATATGCCTGTGGGTACAGGTATTCAGCATTTCATTGATAAAGATTTTTTCCATTTTGCGAGGTGACGTATAATTTTCAAGCAGCGTTTTTTGCAGTGAGACAATTCAACGCCCGTGTATAGCGGCAGTTATTCATAATTTTAGATATCGCGAAGGCTCTGTCTGCATGCAACAAATAAAGAGTTACAAGGAAACGGGAAAGCTTCCATCAGCTGATCAAAGCTCAACGCATACCTATGTTATTATTCCATTAGGCATCCGTTCTCAAGAGAAATAGTACCATTTTATACGTCACCAGTCGTACACTTTTATTGGTAACATCCTACGTGCCCTTTCACCTTTTATCCTGGGGATAGGCCATTACTAGCATACAAAAAGGGAATATCTCTGTGTTGACTATCTATTTACATGAAAATGCCGAGGTGCCTGCCTTCGCTTACAAAGGATCCGCGTTGCCGTTTACCTAAAGGTCCTTTTCCTTTTCTGCCATTTCTGTCGCGTTTACAAATTCTGACGATTCGTTATAACCTGGGGAGATGGTAGAATGGTGGTTTTGAGCTGGAAGGTGGCGTAATAGAGGGAACTGGGTTTGAATTTTTTGTATATAAATGTCGGTAAATCATTCATTCATTTATTCATTTGGTAGACCGGTTTGATTTATGAGTTTTGGGGCGTTAGACTGTACAGCCTATCAAGTCATACAATTATCAGTTGGCTTTCCACGCCATCGAGGAGATATTGTAATATAATAATAATTTTAATTTTTCAAATCAACAATACCGATATTCCATCTCCTATATGGCCCTTACATCGATGTACAAGGATCTTTATAGCTGTCGAATAATGAAGATTCAAGAGCTTACGAAGATTGACTACGGTTCTATGTCAAGGCACAAGGATTTCCACAGCCATCGAATATTAAATGTACCAGAACGTACAAAAGTTGCTTTAGATACTATACATGATACGTGTTCAAATTCCACTTGTTTAGAGTTGCGTAAGAAGTACACATTCAATCTACTTGACGCTTTTTTCATGTTCTGCCATATATCTACATGATTCACCTCTTCCCCCTTTTGTTTAACGTTTTCCTAATCAAAAGGCTTATTTAACAGCGTAATACTCGTATAATAACAATGGTGTTCTGCCAACGTAAAGCGACCCAGCGGTGTAGTTATCCTAAACAGCAATAGCCATGAGATGGCTTTGTCAGTTTGACAGCATTTTTAAATTGGATCTCAGACATAACAGTTATTTGAAGAAATGTTAAAAACTGTCACGGCTACTGATATTCAGCATACCGGTAAAAGCGTTGCACCGCTGGACTGCTTCACGTTGATTGGACGCGCTCAATGTCAAAAACCTTTTAGCTCTATAGCTCTACAACTAAAACCAAGAAGTAATGTTTTTACAACAAAACAAGTGACCAAAGCAAAACACAACATTTAAAAGATCTGTTACGGAATATTGCCGATATTGGGCCAGTCAAACAAACAGAACTAATTGCTTTCATCCATGAGGAATGAATACTCTGCAAAGCAGAAAGGTATTGAACCTCAGGCAAATCTTCAATCGCAACCAGTAAACCGTTTGAATAACAAGGAGTTTCTGACTCTGAGAGACTGCTAAATAGAGTCATCCAAAGAAAATGATAATAAGAGGTTACCTAATTATACATCAAACTCATTTGGATCGCTGTAAATGGGCGCTAGGGACTATGAGATGATCTAACCTCATGAATACTCAAGATATCTTTTTGCACCGTGAATCAGCCACAGAACTTTCAATAACTTGATCAGTTCTGTGAGTATCTCCGATTTTTTTATTTTGTAGCTAGTGCTATGTCGTAGTGTGATATTAGAAACACCGGCATAAATGTTAATTATTCTTTTTTAATATGTGAGGTTTCTACATATTTCGGAAATCTCTGTAAAAGCACCCGACAGAAAAAGTACTGACTGTTCATGGAAGACTTGTTTTAAGTGAACTCATTAAGATGTCGTTGATTTCTTATATAACTAAATAAACGAAGGCAATTGGTATTTAATCTAATTGTTGACTTGACTACCTGCTAGTAAGCCTGAAACGCTTTTCGTACAACGGAATCACAAGCTATTAAACGATCCCTTAGTTTCCTACTCTTTTCTAAGAAGTGTCTTCATAGATCAATGTACCATTATCTAAATCCAATAAAACTTACCAGATTGTGACCCCGTACAAATGGTACGTGAAAAATATTGATAAAACAAATCAAAAGGCAATAAGTAATTTTTCTCTCTCAGATGAATTTCGAACCTCAGGAGTCATATTGAAATTACCCATTGTCCTTTATGGTGATCATGAGCTTGATAGCTTTATCATTTAGTACCTAAGTTATACAAAATTATGTGCTAGGGGGATTGTCAGGAATATTTCTGTTATAGCAGTTCCGGTTTCCGTTTGACAACTAACAGCATCTCACGTCAAAATTACTCACTCCCTTTTGATTCTTCAGCTTACAAACTAAATTTACCTTGTTTAAAGACCTGGATTGGTTGCTATCTTTTTGCATGCTTCCTCATTCCGATGTACACCTTGTTGATTAAATACGCCGCTTTCACTTCATGTTTTATGAGTATTAAGGTGAATTTATGAGACAGAAAGTAGTATGATAATTTTGATTACCGGCAGTTTGCTTAAGCATTCAGAGACTTGCACATGTATCATTGCAAATTATGATGCAGACCGACATTAACGATTAGCTTTATATGAATGGAGTACCCACAGAATTTGAACAATTTATCTAATTTTCAGTACGTTCCATTATGAATATGCATGTAAAATTTCTTAGTGGCTCACTAGTCTTGACGTTTCACTTCCCATGGTGTGATAGTAGGTGAGAAATGCTACAAAGGTACACATCTGCCAATTAGTCGTCAGTACAAACTTACTACCATAATTTTACGGCACAAAGGAATGCACTCGACCAGGACAATTTTTTTTCTGGATAGACGGAGTCACATATGGGACTTGCTCTTTACCAACATTTCGGCCCCCTCAGTGGCCTTTTCCATTGTACAAATAAACGTAGCACTGACAACATCTGTCTTTCAGGTGTCAGCTCATTTGTTTTTTGCTGCTACTATATTGTGTAAACTCACTAAAATTATTTTGAAAATGTTTTCACGAATACATTCTTATTTTTACGATAGCCTTCAACTAATCAAGTATATTGAGTATTTTCTATGAGAATATATTATTGTATTTAATATTTCGTTACAATGAAAGACCTTTATACAAGTACAAGTAATATTCAGCCATAAAGAAAAATACTATACAAGTTACATAAAAGAATAAAGTGTAACTCAATAATCGATTTGTTCCAGTTAACAAAGGAATAAAAGCTGTTTATTTGTTAGCGTGGCATTTCCTGGTCTACCCATAATATACAGAATACAAAACTTACGCCACACCCGATGTCAATACGATTCAAAAGTGTCGTGTTTGGTTCCACCCCCAACACCGTTTTGTATAAAACAAAGGAGATCCTTATAGCTCCCCTCTAGGTATCATCTCGATGAGACGATCGATGTTAACAAAGCGATGGACCGCATTCACAAAATAACGACGTCAAGAACTCGCCGCCACGTCTGTCATTAAATTAGGAGGATGTAAGTGTCAGTGGAAAGAATTTGTCATTTGTTTTACAATGATCATGGCCTTCCATTATCCACCCACCTTACACCAGTAGCAATCAACGAATTCAATAGCCATAGTCAAATTGTACGCGCCTGTCACTTTGACAGATCTGTATGATAGAAATCTGGAGCTGGCCCCGTGACCAAAGAGGTCGTATCGTATCCCCTAAAGATTCTATATCAGTGTACTTCCACCCATCATACCTTAGAACGTATATGTTGGAAGATGTAACCTCATAACAAAAACCGGTAATACTTGCTGTAATATCATTGCAGGAAGGTAAAAAGCTCTCAGAGATGAAATGAATATCATTTTTCAGACAGCTGCACAAAAAAAAACCTTTGTGGCTCGGCACGAAACTACCCTCGTAACAAAAATGCAGAAGTTTTCCCACTTCTTTAATGACATAATTTATTTTGCAGGATTTCTTTTATCTCATTCCATGAATTACCTGGAAGTGTTTCACATTTTTAAGCATGAATATTTGCTGAAGTTTTTGCTGCGCCGTATAATATACCTGTGCCGCGTTTAATATTTTAAATTCCACAGATTCGCTGTCGAACGTGATGAATGTACAGGCTGCAACAGAAATTCTGTTCAGATAATGGTGTGTTATTTCATTGGGACAACTTGTGACAGTCCCATATCACCAAATTTCTCTACACCCACTAGTGGAATTACTACTTAAAAGAAGTACAATACATAACAAAGTT